AGTTATGCGCGAGTATCTGGAGTTAGGTCACGCTGAGAAGGTGCCCAAAGAGGAATTGAAATCTAATAACGCTTACTACATGCCTCATCACGGTGTCGTGAAAGAGTCCAGCTCTACTACTAAATTAAGAGTTGTTTTTGACGCATCTGCCAAGACGTCTACAGGACATTCTTTAAACGACTGTTTGATAGTTGGACCGAAAGTTCAGCAAGATTTAGTGTATATTCTGATGSGTTTTCGTCTACATCCTGTCTGTTTTTCTGCAGATATTGCCAAGATGTACAGGCAAGTCATTCTACGCCCTAACGACCGTGATTATCATCGCTTTCTTTGGAGGGATGACCCGACGCAAGAGGTACAAGAGTACCGAATGACAACTGTGACATTTGGTGTGTCGTCATCTGCGTATCATGCCCAACGATKTTTGATTAAGCTGGCTGATGACGAAGCAGAGGAGTATCCACTCGTCTCATCAGTCGTAAAGAGAGATGTGTACATGGATGATTGCTTGTCTGGTGCAGCTGATTTATCTTCTGCTTTGAAAACCCAGCATGACATGCTAAAAGGCGGAGGATTTAATTTGAGGAAATGGTCTTCAAATAGTGTTGAGCTACTAAAGGCCTTGCCACAGGAACTTTGTGAAATGAACATTGACTTTGATTTAGACATTGCACAATCTAATCACATCATCAAGACCTTAGGAATGTATCTTTCTCCAATTAAAGATGATTTTCTGTTCAAGGTGCAACCTATTGAAAGTTTGTCTGATGTTCACAGTTTCAACAACTGTTTGTTCCTCTCTGATTCTTCACGCATTTTTGATCCCTTGGGTCTATTGGCACCCGTATTGATAACTACCAAGATTATGTTTCAAAGTTTTTGGTTGACAGGAATTTCATAGGATGATGAGCTCCCGGAAGATTTACTTAAAACCTGGAGATCGGAACTGGCAGAGCTTCAAAAGTTGAGGTTTCCTCGATGCATTGTCCCGAAGGCTGAAGGTTGTTAAGTACGATTTGCATGGATTTTTGTGACTTTAAATAGTTGCCTGGTTGCCGCAAAAACGAAAGTTGCACCTCTAAAACGGCTGTCTTTACCTCGCTTGGAATTGTGTGGTGCCTTGTTACTGTCTAGATTGATGAAAAACGTCCAACTCAAGTGAGTTAAGGCCTGGGTCAGCATATGCAAATTAGATAAAAGTGGTTTAATTTTATATCTCAGTTAATTCTCAAACGATTTCGATAAAAYTTTGCAGGTTTGTAGTTTTGAACGACTTTAACATTTTAAGACTGTTAAAATCTCTATCGGCAGGTCACATGACATGTCATGTGACATTTCCATGGAAAGAAATTCAATTGAAAATGGGGTAACCAGAACATACATTGAAAATGTCGGTTTTAGGTTAATATTATCTCTTAGTAGGTTGTCTTCAAGTCTTGTCCTAGAATGGTTGTCCATCACTTGCYGTTAAGGAGATATTTGGTGAAATAGGTCACGTGACCTAAATTCACTTCTGAAAATCTGCTGTTTTCTCCTTATTTTATTTAGAAAGTCATCCATTCTAGGACAGGTCTTGTTGGTTTAGGTCTACTAAATACTTTGAAATCAAAAAAACTTTCATTAAAGTACATTCTCATTACCCCATTTTGAAATTACTGTTTTTTCGTCTTTTGGGTCACGTGACCTCCATATTTGGACAAAACATATTTAAAAATTCCAAGGATCATGATTCTCYTCATGACACCAAAGCTTATTCCTCTACAGTAAATGTTAGTTAAAATATAACGTTTTTAATTTTTTTGATATCGCCTAAAATCCCAGGCCTTAACTCACTTGAGAAGCTGTGTTTTCTTTTCTGACGTTGATTTCGTTTTGTTGGACTGACTCACATGTGACTTTGAACTGGATCTGGAAAGCTTTCGTGGGTAATCGTGTAAACGAGATTCAAGATTTGGTAGGACCGCCGAATTGGTGCTACTGTCCGTCCCAAGACAATCCAGCTGACTGTGCGAGTCGAGGGATTTCCCCTACACAACTATTATCTCATCTACTATGGTTCAATGGACATCCATGGCCTAAAGTAAAGGATCTCAACTATGGCCTGACCAACCCAGAGAATTGCACACAGAAGATGTTTGCTCTGAGCAAAGAAGTAATCAAGAAGTCATAGCAGCTAATGCAGTCCTAACTCCAAGCGTTGACGTACTTAGTCCTTTTTCCTATTCTTCTATCTTCTATCTATCTATCTATCTATCTATCTTCCTATTATCTATCTATCGATAAAGTACTACTAAATCAGGGGTTAAAGAATTTCAGTTTCTATCTGTCAAATTATTTGTTTCTTTCTTATTTAGAATCTTTTAGCTTATAAACACCAATGATAGCAGGATAATACATAAACCGGTTCATATATATCGCTGTGAACAATTTATGGTCGATTTGTATTCATTGATGTTTATTTTTTTTGGATCGAATGCAATGTGTCCGTACTAAAAGACGCAATGAGCTACAAAGCTGCAATGAGAGCTACAATGACCTACAATGAGCTATAATGATCTACAATGACAGCAACAATGACCAATGGAGCTTAGCAGAATGTTTTTTCCTTGTTTTTAAATAAATTTTCGATATGCGTCCACCACCTTAGGTCTGACTATAATGCGAGCTTATATGGTACACCATTTTTTGAGCAGAGACTGGTCTTTAGTAACATCGATTACGTGACAGTGGCCCTATACTAAGATTTCTATAACTCATTTATAATTTCATGAGCTATTAGTCCAATGAGCATCGAACTATTGGGTCACATGATGTGCCTTTATAGAGTTCTATCCCGATAAAGTACTGATGTTTTATTAATCAGCTCTATATCAGATATATAGAACTAATGTTTTATTAATCAGTTCTATATCAGATATAAAGAACTGATGTTCAAGAACAGGCAACCCAAGCAAAGCATTTGATTTAAAATTGTTTTTTTCAGTAAAATACATTTTACCTTAATCTCATGTGTTGCTGATGTTATTTAACATTGTTTTGTATGGTTTTGAAGGGATTTAGAGCTACTTTTTTTTAAATATCGCCATCAGTCATAAAAGACTACAAGGCTGGTTACAGAACTTCCACACCAATCGTCTTTGAAGGCCGAAAAAAATATCTTAAATCCATCTTTTGCCTCCAAAATCCCCTCAGCGGCATGNTGAACTATGTTCTTTCGATATCTTTAAGTCATTCCACAACTTAAGCGCCCTGAAGAAAAAGGAACGCTGCGCGGTAGAAGTTCTGCACATAGGAATATTAAGATTGTCTTTATATCTCATGTTATAGGTATGTGATTCAGATCTTTTGCTTATCTTTCCACATAGATATTGTGGGGCGAGTCCATTCACTATTTTGAAAACTTGACAAGCATCCCTTAAATTCAACTGGTTATTGATGGATATCCAACCTAGCTCTTTTAGAACTGGCGAAATATGATCATATTTTCTAGTGTTTGTCAAGATTCTAGCTGCAAAATTCTGTAAAAGTTGTAGTTTATTGATGTTTTGTTTTGAAGTACCAGACCATACAGTAGAGCAGTAAAAGAGTTTACTAAAAACTAGGGAATTCAGAATCGTGAGGAGGGTATCTTTAGTGAACAGATGGCGAACTCTATTTATCCTGCAGAGGCTGCCAAGAAGAGATGACATAAGTGTATTAATATGCTGATTGAATGACAGGTTACAATCAAGTATGATCCCAAGGTCTTTCACAAAAGGTTCTGGAAAAAGGTCTTGACCCAAGAATGGAACGCATAGACCTGATACCCTAGCAAGCATCTGTGGTGTTCCAAAGACAATGAATTTTGTTTTGTGAGGGTTAATAAGGAGACTATTAGCACAGCACCACTCTGCAATGCGTCGCAGATCCTCTTCTACTTGAGACAAACATGAGTCAACGTCTTTTACGGCAAATGACAGATAGATCTTCGTATCATCAACGTATGACTCAACATGACTGTACTTGACCACAGAGGGCAGATCATTCATGTACAGTCCAAACAGCATAGGTCCCAGTATGGACCCCTGAGGAACCCCGTGAGTAACTGTCAATTGGTCAGATAAAGACGTACCAACCCTAGTAGACTGTTGTTTCTCGTTCTATTGTATTATGTGTTTTGTATTATATCTTTATGAATATATTACATCAACTGAGTGCTACGTAGGCTCTCCCAGGTTTTAATTCAGTTTGAATCAATTTGCAGACATGCACAGTATAGAAGAGACTAGCCGTTCTTACGTGTGGGATGAAATTTTTTAAAATTGTGGGACAATGTGCATGCCCATGCGGAGTTTAATTTATTCTACTTTAAAAAAATTCAATATTAGATAAATCATTCTTTCAACTCCGTAAGAACTTACTTAAGGAGACTTTTCTTTGAAATAAAGCCATAGCTGATCAAAATTTACAAAGGAAAMCAGTTTTTGAAGACAAATATATTATTTGGATATTTGGATATTTTAATCCCGAAATCCATAGTACGGATTCCGGATTCAAAAGCTGTTTTCTTACATGACGTCAACGAACGAATTGATCGTTTTCAACCATCCTCATGAGATTCAAAAGATAAACGACCGGCGGACATGTTGGAGGAGTGAACAATAGATACTACCGTAATGAGAAATCCTTTGTTATAATTCCTCCAAGATGGCCGCTGTGACGGCCATGAAAACGAAGAATTGGTGAAAACGAAGAATTGGTCCAGACTGTTTGTGTTATGTTGTTCTTGGTTGAAGAGCTCAAATCATCAATCATAGTAACAATTGAGAGCTAAAAATACGTTATTCAATGTAACTGAGAGAATAACGTCCTCTTTCATAATTTTGTATATTAAATCATTCCTTAGTAGAAGTCACTTTTGCATTTGCGAAGTTTGAATTGCCCATAACTTAGAAAAAGGAATTTAAGATCAATTTCTTTCTTCAAAGATGTATTTAGCAGCATTTTCTCTTTTGGATGAGAATTAATTTCTAATTGTATCATGTCCACTTTATAAGGTACAGTCCGGTAGCGCGAATCTTGATTAAAAATCACATATTGGCTGGGTCCGAGTCTAACATAAGCACGTGATCTACGTGTTTTAACTACAGAGTCTTCAGAAAATGGCACTGGTATTTTTATAAACGTAGTGTGCGTGTCACGCGGTATGCGTATACTCTTGGGAATAGTAGCGTGAAGTATATATAAGTGAAATCAGTTAGTGTGAACCATCGAAGGTATCTCTAAACTCTTGTACGTAAAGTTTAAAGGAAATATAGGTCAGTGGTAATAGAAGCATATTGTTGTAAACCGTGACATAGCAGCATAACCAATAAAGAGATGCCAATTCCTGTATACTGTTGTTATGAATGTAATTTAGTTTGAAAATAATTTATATTCGGTCGAGAGTAGAATATAA